GAGTGAAGATCAGTCCCACACTGCTGGCTGGTAAGATGTCGGAGAGCGACAGACACCATTAACAGTATTATAATGTGGGCTTTGATTTGTTTCCAAGCCATTCGTGGCAGATACGATTTCTGATCTTGACAAGAAGAAATAAACTGCCTTTCATTATCATTTTCATTTTTTTTATTCCAATATTCTAAATATAACTTATTTTGATGAGTTCTTGAAAGAACGGGCAGAAGGCAGGGCAGAGAATGTTTTAAAATTAATTTGTCGGTTAAAATCATGCAATTTGAAGTTTGAAAGCACCACATCGATTGTTAAATCAACATGGCGTCATTTTCCAATCTACCTTGATAGGTATAGTGAAGATAGGTAGTTTAAATTGAGGATTTTCAACATCTCTTCTGATGGAATATCAGCCACCTTTAGGCTCTTCAATCTCCATCGGTTCCTTTGTATTAATCCATGTTTGCTATTAGTCTTAGTGACGGGATCAAGTCTTGACTAATAGTAATTCATGCGTGGGCTCTGGAGCACACTGAATCACAGGATGTGGTAAAGGTGACTCGGTAATCAAACTGAAGAAGAAAAACTCTTGAAAATTCAGCGGATTTTGGGTTTTTGTAATGAATTGAACGACTCAAATGTGGGAATTTTGAAAATACAGTGGATTGAGGATGAGATGAGAAGTTTGGCAAAGATTCTGTACTCCACACCCTTTGTTTTTGTTCTATTTTGTTTTTAGTTTTTGTTTTACTAAATAGAGGATGAATCTTCTTCATTAGAATATGTTGACAATAAAAAGTCGTTTCTTCGATAATAAACAAGCAAATAAAAATGAAGAAGAAAAAGGCTGGAATATGAACTCTTTATCATGCTGTCCGATGATATTCACATTCAGTTGCTGCAGCAGATCTATTTTACGCTAACAAAAAGCAAACATCTACAACAACTTACGATAAAAATCTCAAGAGAAGTAAGTTTAAAGATACTGACTCTTCATTCGAATAATTACATTTGGCCAAAATCATCATAGAGCGAGGGATTCACGTTTTTTTCTCTCTTATAAGTGACATTTTCATTTGGTGTGTTACTCAAACAATTTAGTTTTAATTAAATTGAAAAATGAAGGTCATAAAATCTTTTTCGAATGGCATATTCTTCAGGAATAACAACAGAAAAAATATTCGCAATCGAATGGACAATCTCTTTTGAAATTGAGATGCTGTGCTCCTAAACTTGCAAGTAAGACGAATTAAGGAAACCGTGCGTTGATTGCAGCTCCTGAATTATAACTTCAGTATGTAGAGAGAAATAGAAAGACAGAACTTGGAATGGAGACCGTGGTTCAATACTATGTACCAAAGATTAAAGGGAATAATCAAGGTTACAGGGTACAACTGCGGAGCATGGTTAATTTTTTTCTTTTCTGCACTTTAGAAGACAATTTTTCATATCTCAAAATTACATATTTTGGAATGCCGCATCATTCAACTTACCTATTGGAGATACTAAATAGTTCCTCAGGGTCTTTCCCGGTGGGTTTTTCCTCCGTATAACTACAGTAACCCAACTAAACTGAAGCCCATTTAAACACTCGGTAAACTATAAAGCTTTCTAAATTGTTACCCCCTGTGGACTTCCCTGAGGCGAAGTGACTGTGAGCACAGCAGCTCTTGGCTCAGATATTCAATTCCCTCGTATGTTCCTAGAGACCAAAATAAAAAGCCCAAGATCGATATATTATTACCCGTTTTCATAAAAAAATCCTATGGCGAAACAAGTACATAGTGCAGATATTCTCGTAAATCGAACTTGGCTTACCTGTAGTTCTTCAAAAGTTAAATATGCCGTGATGGCGAATTAAGGATATGCTGATTTAAATTTGAAGAATTTCAAAGTCTGAGTGCATTTTGTAGAAAACTATCCTGACTTCTGGCACAATAAAGCTATCTTTGCTTATAAGATACAAAAAAACAAAAAAACAAAACAAAACAAAAAATACAAATTTGTGTCCCTCATCCATAAAAAAAGAAAGAGTGACGAATATTTTCCCTCAAGTCTTCCATTTATCTTACTCTCTTCTTTCCACCTTCTTTGAATTCGTCGCTTTCGGTACGTTGTGTTTCATTTATCTTTTTATATAATTTGATGCTTTGAGCTCAAACTTTCTGCAAACTAAGAAAATGAGTAGTTTTTCTTCAAAGCTTTGTGCAGTTTGCAGATGTAAAATAAGTTTCTCATCTTTAATTAGTCACTCAGTCCATGCGCATGAAATTACTTTCACGCACAGATATATTTGTGTTTGTGGCCCCCTTCATGGGACAAACGACATTTAAATTATCCTTGCAAACGATATACTTTCTGTACAATTTTGCAGTAGGAGATCTACCTCCCTTTTCTTCTTCTCGAGTGAATGTCACAAAAAAACACAAGTTTGACGTAAAGGCTTAAGTCACAGCTCTCAGTTTCTCTCGAACAGCTTATTTTTGAGATTAAAAAATGCATTAAATTTTAATTTGTGTATGAAACAAACCTTTTAGGAGTAAAATTAAAAAAAATTTTAAAAAATAATATTCATAGCAACAATAATATTCACTTCAATGGACTCGACATCTCGCCCTGCAAATTCATTTTTTGAGTTCAGTAGCTCGCAGCAACTTCGATTATGAGTTTTACCTCCTTTGCTAGTAGAGGTCGTTAACTATCTACTTAGGAGGGAACGATAAAGTTGCAGAGTTGCAAATGCTGTAAAAGAGGTCGTCTAAGACACCAGTATAAAGTTTCTAAAAGTTTGATATTTATTGTGAGCTGTTTTCACTTTCATCTCATTTCTTTTATCATGGCGCTTAAGAGCAAAATGCGAAATAAAAGATTAAAAACCGCAGGTACCTGATGTCACGGGGAACGACGTATTCCCCTATCCACCCCATTTTCCATTCTAAATTTTTTGACAGGATCTTTTGCAGTCCTCCAGTTTCCCTACCGTTTCTACACGTGAAGCTGTACAGTAATGAAAGTGGCGACCCGAGTTTATTAAGAGAGATAAGTGTTTGTTTTTGCGAGGCACACTGGAGGTGCATGGTACAAGATGACATGAAAAAGGTTATTTTGCATGTTAATTGAATGTTGCCTCTAAGAGCAATGTTCTCCTGCTGTTTTGCTCCACAGTGTCTCCACATGACTTTCTTCTGGCATTCGTGCCATCAAGTCCATCTTGGAGATGCACTCATTGTACAGCACAGACAAATTTTTCTAGGTTTTTTTAAATTTTTAAATTTTCACGTAACCTAGATTTTTAGTCGACAATCTCTTTATTCCCTTAACGAACCTTATCTTCTATGACCTAGCTGATCCTCAAAGGGGGTTGCATGTGCATATATATGTGGAACTCGGAATATCATTTGAAGAATTCTATGAAATAGATTTATTGCCCGCTTCAAGTTGAAAGAGATGATAACAACAGAAGTGGACATTAGCCATCATGTAATAAGCTGAATTCCACATGCATTTTAACCGGCTCTTGCTTATGATCTGTCGAGCACGTACGCATAGATGACGTCACCAGTAACAACATTATGTTTTTTGTTATCATATAAAAAAAATCGATTCTATGTTGTTGTGGGTCTGTACGGTAATGGATCAAAATATCGTAGGAGCATCAATGACACACTTTGCTGTGCCTCATGTGCCACGTTGTTGTCCTTACCAGATTTTGAGGTCATCTGCAAAATCTGTAACTGAGCAGACGCAGGACAACATGGAATCTTTTTGTCAGTTGAAGGTGATATGAAGTCGTGGTATGAAGTCGGAGTATTGAAACCTAATCAAAAGCTAATTAAAATATTGATAATTAAGAATCTCAACAACTCATAGTTACTATTACCTGAAATTTGACCATGCTATTATATCTCAAAAGGCGCACGGAAATGTTAGTGTCATTTTTAGGATAAGTTTTTTTAAGGGAAAAAACCAAAGTTTTCCCTCTTTTGCCGACAAGCGTCGGTGGCGAAAATATCTCAGAAAAACAGCTTTTTTTAAACGTATGAATCTGGTTAACGCCTTAAATCTGTTAAACGAATATTCAAAAGACAAAAATTTAGTATGAAAAAGTCGGCGAATTCGTGTACAGTGTGGAAGAACAGACCATTAACTACCAAAAAAATTAGGAAAAAATGAACAAATTAGGGAATACAGTGCCTCCTATTTACATCTCATTGAATCACAATATTGCGCGTACAAAACAAGCTCGTGCAATTTTGTGAGACTTTGAAAAATTTTACCCGTGCTGATTCATCCCAAACAGCACGGGAAAAAGCATGTAATTACTAATTAATAATACACAGGCGAAAATATGATTCTGCTTTCCTTTCTAGTTGTTTTTATTTCTTGTTGTGGCTCACAAGTTCAGCATCAGTTTGCCTTCGCCTAGTTGTCCGAGTTGTCGGGCTTTTCCCGTAAGAACTAGCTTCAAACTTTTAAATCTTCTTCCAAGAATAATTCTTTTTCTCTGTTAGGAATCGGTCGACAGCAGTAACCATTACACGAAAGCTATCACGCTCGTAATCTTCCCCGCTTTTCGTAAGAACTGTTGCAAAAAACTTCTCGAGAATTTTCTTCAGGGCCTCTGGTTCATACTTTCATAACCGTATTTGGAAACCAGACTTTTAGCCATTTGTTTTCCCTTTGTTAGGCGTTACTCAAGTATGATTTCAGACCAAACTTGAACGACACGAAGTTCAATTACCACTTTATGACATCTCTTTCAAAATCGCAAAATTCAGTCGCTCAGATACAGGTCTTTTTAGTCTGTACCAACAATTTAATGATCCGGTATTGAGCTGGTTTGTAAAAAGTTGCAAAAATTTGTTTCATCTCCCTGCAATTTAATTGGTTTCGTTAAACTAGCCTCGAAATAAAATTGGTTGTTGTGGAAAAAAAAATGCGATTTAGAGCATTAAATGGTGCGATGCGTGAATAAAGCACACCGATGAGAGCCAATTAGATTGCAGGGATCACCAGTGTTTTCAAAATAGATGTAATATAACAGCACTTACATAGACATGACGTATTAACTGTTCCTTTAACAGTCCTTTTCGACTGTCCAATTACAATCATGACGCATACACTGTCCTATTAGTGCTTAAATGGGGCCGGTGATAAACAATCACGTTCGACAATTTGTTTTAGTTTTGATGAAAGCAAAATTAGTCAAAACAAAGGCTCTTATTTACATCGAATTGAAAGCAAGATAGGGCCTAATGTAAATTTCTCTGCGTTCCTCAACATCTGACCTTAACCTTAGTAGCGTTGTTTTTATATAAATTTTATCTTCATGATAAACAGGCTATATGTGGACCTATCAATAATACATCCAGGGAACAAAACAAATGTAACGCAATAGGCTAGGAAACCTTTTAAAAAAGATTACTAAAAGCTATTCACTATACTGCCATTACATTACTAATATTAACAAAAAATTGAAATTTCTAATCTACTTGCAATAGTTGCAGTAATTAAAACGCTAAAATTAACTCCTAACTCTTACGGTACTTGCGTTTTCGTTGTCGTCTGCAAACTTTTTCAGGCATATACATCACTTACAGTACATAATGATAACGTCTTTTTCCTTTTACATACTGAATGTAACATAACTCATAAATCACCCGACTACACCAAACTAAACTGAACATACTTTGGGAGCCAGGCATACTTTGCTGCAGAACAATTGGTTTGAGGTCGCAATGTTATTGTTTTGGTAACCAATATGGCTGCCAGGACGTCATTTTAGGACGATCTATATAATTGAGCGATTATGATAAATTCTAATCTATGTTTCAGAGTTGGTCTCTAAGCATTAAACACCTAGTCAGATTAAAAAACCACGAGAACGCTCACTGCTTGCGTAAGTGCAAGTGTGGATTAAATATTGTTAATAACAATGATTAACCATGGCAAAGTTATTTAACTTACTTCTACTTGGCCTAAGACATCCCCAGCCAATCACCCAGAATGCCTTGCTACTGCAAGTTACCCAGAATGCAAGAGTGATTTAGTAAGAGCTACAGTAACGATGGCAATTTGAGCCATGTGAAAAACCCTTTAAGTAGTAAACATAGAACGAACCGCAGTTTCTAACTGTGATAGTCGTCGATACTCTGTAACAATTGTCACTCGAGCGAAACCAGACCTTCCTGGACACTCTACCATCAGCTTTGTTGGGATGACCACCACTGAGCCAGCCTGGTCTCTGGCCGCCACATCTTTTAAAAGGCACACATGCAGTGGGCATTTTTCTACCTGCTGCTCCAGTAATACGATACCAGCCCCAAGTCAGTGAATTGTCGCATACATGTGGTTTTTTTGACGTAGAACCTTTCAATCTTCGAGCAGAAGTTAAAGTCTTGTAGTTGCTACATTCTAGGTAGAAAAAAAGCCAGCCAACTCAAAATGAAAAAAAATTATGAAACTTGCTTGCTACTTTCATTAGCTGGCTTGCACTAAATTCCAGAGGCTATTGTCCAGAAATAAAGCCTTAGGAACAAAAGAAAGTCGTAATAAAGGCAACTGAACATTCCCTAACAGCGACCCTCAAAGATATACTTTAAAGGACCATTATGCCTGCAGCTCGCGGGGTCAGTGGAAAACTGTGTCTTTGTTCAGCATAAAAGCTGATCGTGAGCTATTGATGCTAGACTCTTGGCATATTTATAATAGTCCTACCCACCTTTAGGCTCGCAATTCAGTCCGTCCCCAATGTATTGTGAGTTGCAGGTACACCTATACGAGCCTGCAGTATTCTGACAAGTGGCGTCACGATGGCAACGGTGAGATCCTTCCGTACATTCGTTGATATCTAAATATCAGAGATATTTATGAAATAATAAGTCGGAAACTCACACGATTAGAAATAGGGGTAGAACGGCGTCAACGGTGAAAGAACAATTTCGTATCAGTGGTAAATTGTTTAGTTGTTGCAAACCCAATAAAAAGGACCGTTTCTTCGCTTAAATATAATATTCTTCAAGTTAAGAACAATACTTAGATTTATGGTTCAAATTTTGAGTCTGACGAAACAGACATCGGGAATTTAACGAATGCACTCACAAAGAAAGTACATACTTTCATTGGGAGAGAAGAGCTCAGAGAAAACAGGTCAGTGCTTTGGACATGGATCTTTTACTTCACCAAATTCTTTCTGGCCTTTGCAGTTTTCCTTCCTCCATGATTGTCATAGCGTTGCTATGACAATCATGGAGGCCTTCTTTACATTCGTCAATATCTAAGGAACCAGAGTAACTCTTAACATAACTCCCGGGTGCAAATGCACTGAATCCGGGCAACACTGAGTTCTTACAACTCAAATTT